TTGTTATTTAGGGGTGGGGGGTATCAGTTGCCCAGCGTGTGTTTCATACCACTGTTTAATTTCTACTTTTATTGCACTAAATACCAACAATTGACTGCAATAAAAGTAAAAAATTCTTAGAGGTCGCTGCAGCATTTCCACTCTCGATTAACGTAAATGATCAGTTATTCTTTACACAAACTTATGTACTTTAATGTATGTCGATCAAACTGAACTGATTTGAAGATTTACTTGATCCAGTCTGACCTGTAATGTCATTTCTAAAATAAAATAAAATTTATATTATATTTCAGGACTTAAATTGAAAATGTAGCAATAACTAAAATAAAACGAAGCAATACTTCTATGTTGCCATGTTGTTTAAAAGAGAACTTGTCCTTTAAGGCTTGGGCCTACTTGGCCCGGCATTGCCATGTGGTTAGAGCGCTCGACTCGCCCTTTGATTAAGGTGTTTATCAGTGTCAATTGGGTGCATATTATCTGCTGTACAACTCTAGCGTTACTGCTGTAACGAATTTGTTGTATTTATTTAAACATCGACGTTGTTTAGATTAAGCTTATATTTAAAAACATGCTTATAGCGTTAAATGTTTATTGCAAAACTTCCGCCTATTTTCTAAAGTTGTAGAAGATTCTCGAGAGTAAGAATCAACAATATATGTATATACGTATAAAGCCTACACATGGCTATAAATATAACCAACGCGACGCGCCAAAAGAGAGTATCTATAATTAGTTCTCTATAATCAGTGTGCTATAAACTTCGTATGCTATAACTGTGATTGTTATAACGCTTATCAATCAGAAAACTTTTGACCAGGAATATTTATAAATTTCGAACATTATTAATTATTTAACTTCAGTGGATTCACATCCGACATTAGTATTTTTACGAAGACATTATATAATTCAACGGTGGAAAACTCAGCGTGTGTGGCAAAGAACAAAGCTAGCTAGCTTCCTGTTAAGTGAAATATATTTCCGTCAACTCGTAATCAGCTCGCTCATCGTGAACCCTCGATAAGATATCAAACTAGAAAGAAGACTTCATATTGTTTGCAAGTTTGTGAAACTTTTGTTTATACAATCTTTGTTTGTAATAACTATTTGTAATAATTGTTATTGTAAATTGTACTGTTGTGTGTATATTAAAACGTATTTGTGTTAAAAAATAAAACTGTGTATTAATCTTGTTGGTAAATATTACAAACTGACTATATTTATTTAAATACTAAATCCAAAGTACAATTGAACTACTAAATTTAAATTATCAGTTAACTCAATTTCAGACTATTTGAAATTCTAATACGTAACACTACGCAAAGAAAAAAAAAGTATGCTCCGCACTTTGCGACCATGGCATGGGCATCCGCAGAAATTTTTTCGGGGGTGGGGTGCAAAGTAGTGTGAAATTGTGAATTAAATAAAAAAAAAAAATCCATATACATATGTTTAATGAATAAAGAAAAAATATGTTTCTCATTTTCCAGGTGGGGACAAGTGCTCCTCCCTCCCCCTGCGGACGTCCATGGACCATGGCTGCGTTAAAGTGTGACAGTGAAAATCCCACTATTATATTAGATAATAGTAGCCCAAGAGTTAGCGGTAAGAGCTGTTGACTAGCTGCCTTTCATCTATATCACTTCAAACGTAGGACGGACGTCTATCGAAGGTAAATCACGAGTTTCAAACAAACAAATAAAACTCGAACCATTTCACTGTGTTGTGTCGTGTGGCCTATAGATACGTGCTTACAGGTGTGCGTTGGGCTGTAGAATCTACACGTGTACCAACCTTCTTTCTTTATATTCGTGTAGGTATATAGTTTCCTTGGCTAAGGGCATAATCCATCCGAGAAAGTCCAAGTCCCAAGTTTTCCAGCGATTATATATAGTGTAGCTCACCTGACAAAGTTCATGTCTTCAACATGATAATGTGCTTTCACAGAAGTCGTGGGATGAACACGTGGATTTTTCTGATATTCACTGCTTTACTTTTGTAGCTGACGTGGCATGGCCTGGTGGTTAGCGCCTTGACTCGCAATCTGTGGGTCGCGTGTTCAAATCCCGTTATCGAAAATCCCACACTTCGTTGGTAAAGAGTAGCCAAAGAGTTGGCGGTGGGTGGTGTTGACTAGCTGCCTTCCTTCTAGTCTATCACTTCTAACTTAGGGACGGCTGGCACAGATATCCCTCGAGTAGCTTTGCGTGAATTCAACAAACAAACAAAACGAAAACTTAGGGCAGCCGTATACTGCTGTTTAGCTCCGA